GAAGGCCGTGGCCCTGTGCTCAGTTGCAGCGAAAGCGGCACATCGGGAATGACATCGTCGCTGTGGTCTTCCAGGATGAGAACACGCCCTTTGTGCCTGACATGATTGCGTCCAACTTCCTGCACGCCTATGTGGTGGTGCAGGCCGAGGGCGGGGGGCCCGGCGGCCCCCTCTATAAGGTGGGTGATCTCAGGGCCTCCCAGGATGAGGCCTCAGTTTTCCCACCTGTAAACAGGGGGACTGTCCTGAGGGCTCTAAGTCCTACTCTTGCTCCAATGATGGAGGCTTCCCATCCTGCCCTCTCTGCTCCCCAAAGCTCCCCTCTCAAAGAGGTGAGCCTCCTCCCCCTTCATCATCCCCGACGACTCCTGAGACCCCTTCCCACCACTCAAATTCAGGGCCCAGGATGGAGGAGCTGAGATCCTGGGGTTCAGTCACTCTATCAGCAGCCACTGAACATCCCCCACCAAGGAGCAGGCCCTGTGTCCAGCATGGGACGGGATAGGAGGTGAATTAAGGGCGGGTGTGGGGACCCCACAGGGACTGGTGCCCTCCCTTCCAGGTCTCTGTCACGGCCAGAGATGACGTGCCCTTCTTTGGGCCCCCGCTCCCGGACCCTGCTGTGTTCAGGAAGGTGAGAGGCTGCCCAGCCCTGTCATGGGCAGGACCAAATTGGTGGGTGCTGAGAGGGGGACCCACATTCTGCCATACTAGGTCCTGGCCCCTCTGTGTGCCAGGGCAGCTGGGCTCCCCTAGCTGTGCACCTGGGGCCTGGCTTTTCTGTTTATCTTGATAAACACTGACCTTTATTTACAAAGGCACAGAACAAACTATGTCATTGTTTTACATTTTTTGCATGTTTCGTAGCAGACTCTGGCCCTTCCTCATTTCTGTTATCTTTTTGACAATGAGTCTTCTTTCGTCTCAAATGTCTAGGGAGGGGGCACATGTCTCTCTCCTCCCAGAAGCCACACTTAGAGCCTTGGCTTCAGTCCCCCACAGGCTGAGGCAGTCGGGGAGCCCGACCCAGCCCCTGACTTCTGTGGGTTTGCTCTCCTGAGGGGTGGGCAGCCATGAAGGGCACAGGGGCCCTCACAGGTGCCTGGGCTGGGGAGCTGAGCCCAAGGAGGTGCCCTGGGGTGAAGAGGGCGACTTCTGGGCTCCAGCAGTTGGGGCTCGGGGGACTCCAGCCCGGGACAGAGGGCTCAGCTCCTGTCTCTGTTCGCCTGACCCCCCTCCCCCTTTCTTTTCTCCACACGGGGGGCTCCCAGGGGCCCGAGTTCCAGGAATTTTTGCTGACAAAACTGATCAATGCGGAATATGCCTGCTACAAGGCAGAGAAGTTTGCCAAACTGGAGGTGAGGATGGGCTGTTGGGGCTGAGTCCCTGCCCCCAGCTTGGAATTTCAGAGCTGTACCCCGGAGGGCAAAGCCTGTTCTGAACTCGGCCTTGGGGAGGGCTGCCAGGGGAGCAGGACTTCGGGCTGTGCATGGCTGGTCAGGGGAGAGGATGCAGGGCATTCCTGGGGATGCCCGAGGAATGCCCGGGCGGGGCTCGGAGGTGGGCAGGCTCCGTGGGGGCGGGGACAGGCGGCCAGATCTTGGGCGTAGGCTTGCGGGGGCGCAGGCCCACTCCCCACTCTGTCCGAGAAGGCGGCCGGGACTCGAGTGGTGGGACCAGGGGC